TCCTGTAGTGGTAAAACTCTCTGATCAGATCAATCTCAATTGGATTGATCTACAATCTCAATTACTGAGTTTTGAAAGTAGAATTGAGCAGCTCAATTCCTTTAACAACCTGAGTCTCAATGCCTCAGCAAATGTTGCACACAAGACTGATTACAAAGGAAATTGGAGAAATGGCTCAAATGGAAACTGGAGAGGCTCCAACTCCAGAGGTTGGAGAGGAGGCAGAGGAAGAGGCAGGTTCTCTAAACCTACCTATCAAGTGTGCTCAAAGTCTGGTCACAAAGCAGTGCAATGTTTCTATAGGTTTGACAAAACCTACTCAGGTTCAAATCACTCATCAGAAGAGGAAGAAAAATCTGCATTCCTAGCATCACAAGGAACCAATCAAGAATATGGTTGGTACTTTGATAGTGGAGCAAGCAATCATGTGACACATCAAAATGAAAAATTCCAAGAAATAAATGAACATCATGGTAAGAACTCTCTGGTTATTGGAAATGGTGAACAACTAGAAATTATAGCCACAGGCTCTTCCAAACTCAAGTCACTTAATCTACATGATATACTATATGTGCCTAACATTACCAAAAATCTATTAAGTGTATCTAAATTGACTGCTGACAATAACACTCTTGTTGAGTTTGATAAGAATTGTTGTTTTGTGAAGGACAAGTTGACAGGAAAGGCAATACTAAAAGGAATACTTAAAGATGGATTATACCGGCTCTCAGGAATTTAAAGAAGCCCAAGTACTTATATATCTGTCAGAGAGAGCTGGCATAGAAGACTTGGTCACCCAAACAACAATACACTAGACAAAGTCTTGAAAAATTGTAATATCAAAGTATCACCTAGTGATCACTTTAGTTTTTGTGAGGCCTGCCAATATGGAAAAATGCACCTCTTACCCTTTAAATCTTCTTCATTTCATGCTAAGGAACCACTTGAATTGGTTTATACCGATGTATGGGGTCCTACACCAATAATGTCATCTTCTGGTTTCAAATATTATGTGCATTTTGTTGATGATTTTAGTAGGTTCACTTGGATTTATCCATTAAAACAAAAGTCTGAAACTGTGCAAGCTTTCATTAAATTTAAAGCCTTGGCTGAAAATCAATACAATAAGAGAATCAAAGTAATTCAGTGTGATGGTGGTGGTGAATACAAACCTGTACAGAGACTTGCAATAGAAGCTGGCATAGGCTTTAGAATGTCTTGTCCTTATACCTCTCAGCAAAATGGAAGAGTTGAGAGGAAACACAGACACATAGCTGAGTTTGGTGTAACTCTACTTGCACAAGCTCAAATGTCATTCCAATATTGGTGGGACGCATTCTCCACTGCAGTATACCTTATAAACAGACTGCCATCTCAAGTTACCCAAAATAAGACACCCTACTCACTTATGCTTCATAAGGAACCTGACTATAAGCTCCTAAAACCCTTTGGTTGTGCTTGTTATTCATGCCTCAAACCCTACAATCAACACAAGCTACAATTTCATACAACCAGATGTGTGTTCCTAGGCTATAGTAACTCACAAAGGGTATAAATGTCTCAATTCCCATGGCAGAATCTTCATATAAAGACATGTTATTTTCAATGAAGATCACTTCCCATTCCATGATGGGTTCCTCAATATAAGAGGTCCTCTAAAAACAACTAACAATCCATCATTCTCTTTCCCCCTTGTCTTCTGCAGGTAATCCTATCAATAATGAAATTCCTGAAGGAGATATCTCAAATGAAGTGAACTTAGTTGATTCGCAAACTGAGCAACAATTACAAGATGACAACAATGCCACAGAAATTAACAACAATATCACAGAACAATATGAAGATACTGTACTAGATGGTGTAACTCATCCAGAGATACAACCTGAAACAACCCAGCAAAGTACAAGTGAAGCAAGCAATGCAGGCATCATACAAACCAGAAGCAAGTCAAGTATTCACAAGCCAAAACTTCCTTACATTGGTCTAGCTGAGACCTATAAAGATACAGTGGAACCTACAAATGCCAATGATGCTCTTACAAGGCCCTTATGGAAGGAAGCAATGCAAAATGAGGTTCAAGCACTCATGTTTAATAAAACTTGGACACTAGTCCCTTATCAAAGTGAAGAAAACATAGTTCACTTAAAATGGATCTTCAAGACCAAATACAAGTCAGATGGTACCATAGAAAGGAGAAAAGCTAGGCTAGTTGCCAAAGGATTTCAAAAAATAGTTGGCATTGATTATGAAGAAACCTTCAGCCCTATAGTCAAAGCTAGCACTATCAGAATCATTCTTTCAATTGCAGTCCATCTCAATTGGAAAGTCAGGCAACTAGACATTAACAATGCTTTCCTAAATGGATATCTCAAGGAAACAGTGTTCATGCATCAACCTGAAGGATTTGTTGATCCAACCAGGACTAACCACATATGCAGACTATCTAAAGCAATCTATGGACTGAAGCAAGCACCAAGAGCTTGGTTTGATAGTCTCAAGGCTGCATTATTGAAGTGGGGCTTCCAAAACATAAAGAGTGATTCTTCTCTTTTCCTTCTAAAAGGTAAAGATCACATTACTTTTCTGCTTATCTATGTGGATGACATAATAATTACAGGAAGCAACACCAAATTCCTTCAAGCTTTCATCTCTCAGCTTAATGATGTATTCTCTCTCAAAGACTTGGGTCAGCTACACTACTTTCTGGGCATAGAAGTGAAAAGAGATACCAGTGGAATGTATCTCAAACAATCTAAGTACATCAGGGACTTACTGAGTAAATTCAAGATGGGAAAAGCCTCACCATGTCCCACACCTATGATAACAGGTAGGCAATTCACAGTTGAGGGAGAGAAACTAAATGACCCAACTGTGTTTAGACAAGCCATAGGTGCCTTACAATACTTGACTCACACAAGACCTGATCTAGCATTCTCTGTTAACAAACTCAGTCAATACATGATCTCACCAACACTTGAACACTGGCAAGCCATAAAAAGAATCTTTAGGTATCTCCAAGGCACCATAAATCATTGCTTACACATCAAGTCACCCACTGATTTGGACATTCATGGTTTCTCTGATGTAGACTGGGCCACTAGTGTTGATGACAGGAAATCCATGACTGGTCAATGTGTGTTCCTAGGTGAAACACTTGTTTCCTGGTCATCAAGGAAGCAAAAAGTGGTATCAAGATCAAGCACTGAGTCAGAATACAGAGCCCTAGCTGATCTAGCTGCTGAAATAGCATGGATTCGTTCATTACTTGCTGAACTCAAAATCCTACTTCCAAGAAAACCCATATTGTGGTGTGATAACTTGAGTGCCAAGGCACTAGCCTCAAATCCTGTTCAGCATGCTCGTTCCAAACACATTGAAATTGATATTCATTATATCAGAGATCAAGTACTACAAAATGAAGTTGTTGTGGCCTGTGTTCCTACAACTGATCAAATTGCAGACTGCCTCACCAAACCATTAAGTCACACACGTTTCAGCCAGCTTAGAGACAAACTTGGTGTTATCCACTCACCACCAGTTTGAAGGGGGGAATTAGAAACATGATTCCTTAATATCAGCATCATGTTCCTAGTATTTAATGTATAGTCAATAGCACTTATGTGCTAATTATAGGCATCAATATTATGTTTCCATATTGTGTGTACAACCATCATTATTAGAGTTATTGTTGTAGAATCATGGTCTCTACTTTCATGTATATATATGTATGTTACTAATTAATACAAATATAACAAGTTTATACATATTGCAATTGTTCTAACTGTATCATATAAAAATTAAAATTTAATATTTTATTTAGTAAAACAAGTCATACTATTAAAATAGAAAGAGTAGGTATGAAAAGTTAAATATCACAAATAATATTTAAAAATACTTTCTGTAATCAGATTTAGTGAAATAAGTAAAACAATTTATAATTCAAAATAGAATAAGTAAAAAAATAAAATGTCACAATAATATTTTTAAAATATTTTAGTTATGAAATTATTTTTATGTATTTTATATTTAAAACTAAAAGTTATCAAAATCACAAAAATAAAACTACCATCCAAATAAAATTAAATAGACGAAAATAATGGTCCAATTTCCTATCTATATATTCAACTCTAGGCATAAAGGAAAAAAAAAAATTCAAATGTGATTTTATAATATTAATAAATTCACAAACTATATTCATAATATTCTACAATCTTATAGGCTAAATTAAATGACTTATATTTCAAGTTCACCAAATTATATTTCAAACAAAATTCATAAATACCAATTACTCAAATCTAAATTCAACGGTGTAGATGTATTTAATATATATATCTAATCCAAATCCTAACCGTTTATTCCTATTACCTTACCTATGCCATTTTTTGTTTTACCCATTCCTCTCTTTGACTCAAAAATCTTCAATGGTCAATATTCAAATCATAACTCCTCTACTATACAAATTAAACCAAATCTCATTCTCTTTCTCTCTCTCTCTCTCTCTCTCTCTCTCTCTCTCTCTCTCTCTCTCTCTCTCTCTCTCTCTCTCTCTCTCTCTCTCTCTCTCTCTCTTCAATTTTGAATATTTCTCATTAGAATAGTTCTTTCTAAGGTCCAACCTTTGAAGTTGAAAACTCTCTTTGTATGAAAAGGACTATTTAGTCAATAGCTACAAAACCCACAAAACACACATGAGAAATACATGAATGAACGTACCCATAAATATTTTCAACCAAAGTTTCAAACTTGATCAATAAAAAAACAACCCAAAAACAAAACAAAAAATCTTTATTTCTTATTGAGTTTTTTGTCTATATATATGTTCATGAACTTACCAAATTGAAAACCCATTAATATTTTCTACCAAAGTTTCAATCTTGATTAACCCATTAATATTTTCTTCCAAAGTTTCAATCTTGATCAACCCATTAATATTTTCTTCCAAAGTTTCAATCTTTATCTACAAACAAAGCAACCCAAAAACAAAAATACTTTTTTTTGAGATGGTGTTAGGTTGGGGAAGAAGGAAGAACAACAAAAAGAACAAAGGTGGAAAACCAAACATGGAAGTGGTGATTCCAAATCAATTCAAGTGTCCAATTACTCTTGATTTGATGAAAGATCCGGTTACATTATCAACAGGAATCACTTATGATAGAGAGAGTGTAGAAAGATGGTTTGATGAAGGAAACATCACTTGTCCACTTACAAATCTAGTTGTGAGAAATTTTGACATGATTCCAAATCATTCTCTTAGGATAATGATTCAAGATTGGTGTGTTGAGAATAGACAAAATGGTGTTGAGAGGATTCCAACTCCGAGGATACCGGTTAGTCCGACCGATGTTTCGGAGCTTGTTTTTCGAGTTAAGGAATGTGCAAGAGGTTTGGATCAATATGGTTGTGTTGAGTTGGTTCAAAAAATGGAGAAGTGGAGTAATGAAAGTGAGAGGAACAAGAAATGTATAGTTGAGAATGGAGCAATAAGTGGATTGGCTTTAGCTTTTGAAGCTTTTGCTAATGATTCTATTGAGAGGAATTTGATTGTTTTAGAAGTGATTTTGTCATCACTTAATTGGATGTTTCCACTTCAATTAGAAGCTCAAAAATCTTTAGGTTCAAAAGCTTCTTTGCATTGCATGGTTTGGTTTTTGAAGCATCAAGATGTTAAGGGAAAAGAAAAAGCTATTATTGCATTGAAAGAGATTCTTTCTTTTGGTGATGAGAAGCATGTGGAAGCACTTTTGGAGATTGAAGGAGTTAATGAGCTTTTGATTGAGTTCATTAACAAGAGAATTAGTCCTATAATCACAAAAGCTTCATTGAGGATTGTTTGGTATTTGGTTTCATCCAATTCTAGCTTTAATGAAAAGTTGAAATTTTCATTTGTTGAATTGGGTTTGGTTTCTTCAATTTTGAACATTCTTATTGACTCAGAAAAGAGTGTTTGTGAAAAAGCTTTTACTATTTTGGATTCTTTATTAAGCTGTGATTTTGGAAGGGAAAAAGCTTATGAAAATGACTTAACAATTCCTTTGTTGGTGAAGAAAATATTGAGAGTTTCACCATTGACTACAGAGTACTCTGTTTCTAGTATTTGGAAGCTATGCAAATTTGAAGAGAAAAACTATGAAGGAAAAGCTTTGATAGAAGCACTTCAAGTAGGTGCTTTTCAGAAGCTATTATTGGTGTTACAAGTTGGTTGTAGTGATGAGACAAAAGAAAAAGCAACTGAACTTCTTAAATTGATGAATCCTTATAGGGCTGAGTTGGAAGAATGCATTGATTCAGATTTCAAGAATCTTAAGAGATCATATTAAGTTTTTGTAATTCATTTTTTTCTACCTAGATAATTAGTATAATTGTGTTTATGTATAAAAAAAATTGGCTTAAGAAATGGATCAATGCAATTTGTGTCATGATGTTCATAGAATCCATAAATAGATCATAGGGAATATATAGAATTGTATTCTTTTTGTATATTATAGAAATGTTGATTACTTATTTATTTTTGTACAATTTTCAATATAAGTGCGCAAGTGAATATGTACGGTTAGCATTAGCATTATAGTTAAAGTTACTGAATTCATGAGAAAAAATATGTGAACGAAAGAATATTTGAAATGAAAATATTTTAAGTATGTGAACGAGAGAATATTTAAAATGATGCGTGATTGACTTTATATAATGTGAACAGTTAAATTCAAGTTATCAATGTTTTGATGTGCACGTGTTTTCGACTGAACCATATTATGATTGAGATTTATTATTTTTAACGCGCATATGTATTTGGTCTATAACACTATTTATTATTAAGTGAAATTTTATATTTGCTCCACTTCTTATTTAGTGGGGAATGACATGGAGAAAGTATATATTGTTTCTTCATGATGAAGGAATTAGGAAGAATAATAATGACACAAAAGTTTGGATAAGGAAATTTGTAATGTTGGTTTTGTGTCCTATGATTCTAATTTAGGCTTGAAATCATTAGTTTGGTGTTAATATGGTTCTTCAAATTAGATGAAAGACATGATTGAAGTGTGGAAACAATTAGGCATGTTTGGCATGAAAGCTTTCGTAATTGAATTGAAATTGTATGATCCAATTAAGGGATTATTGCATGGTTCTATAAAAGAAAGGCAAGGTTGAATAAAAACTTGGCATGTTTGGCATGAATGCTAAGTGAAATCATAAAATATGATAGAAATTAAAGGCAATGTTTATCTTTTAGATCTTATAAACTTCATCTCCTCAACATCATTTTGATGAGATGAAAAGAATTTATTTCAATTTACATGAAAGATTTCAAATTTAAATCAAACATTGAGAATGCAACACTCTTAAATCTGTAAAATCTCTCAGAGCAAAAAAAAGTAAGTTATATAATTAGTAAATGTAAATTTAAGAAATCCTAATCCAATGATAAAAAATGTGTTATGCCAACCTATGGAGACTTGTGTTTGAATAGGTAATTAAAGTCACTTTCAATTTAAGTAACTACAAACTTATTAAACATGAGAAAATTTCTTAGACAGAACTTTTACAAATAATCAATCACAAATTTTTTTTGTTAATTAAAACATAAAAAAAAAATTTCTCTTTCCTTCATTATTACCACCCTCCTATAATTCTAATTAAAAAGAAAATTATATTTTATATACATGAATTTCCCTAAACTTGAAAAGAAAGGGGGCAAGCTATGGCGGCCCAAAAGTTAAAGTGGTAAGTTCATAGTCATACAATAAGAATATTAACCATTGTGTCAAGCTTCACTGCACAAGCAACGTTAAAGCTAAAAGAGAAAAAGAAAGTTGTGGAGAATTCATGTCATTCCCATGTACCTCTTAAATCAAGCAAACACTTAATAATGTTGGTCAATGATCAAGATTAAGATTATTTTTATTGATACAAAGAATATATATATATATATATATATATATATATATATATATATATATATATATATACTAGAAAATTAATGACAAAATATCATTTTTCCTTTTGATTTTTTAATTTTTTTCGTATTTTGGATAAAAAGAAAGTCAAAGTCGTTGCTGACTCACGTCTATTGTAAAAATAGGGATTTAATTGTCCATCATTTAATTGTGAGGGTATTGGCCTTTTTTAGAGGAAAAAGTGTTGGGAACTTCTATAAATATATTACCCATTTATAGGATAAAGACAAATTTTAAGTCATACATACTCTCCACGGTTAAGAAACCACTACGCTCATTACCACGACTAACCTAACCGCCCCCATGCAATCTTAGCAATGTCGGCCACCAACAGGATATTTCACCTTATTTGTGTTGGTCCCTTAAATAGACTAAAAAACCACCGCACAGGACTTCTCGCCGCCGTGAGCGAGCTCTCACTACCCAATTTATTATATACCTACTAAGATTTGCAGGGGAAACACGCACATTGTGTACTTTTTAACAAGTACAACCATACATTTGTGTGGTATTTTCCACTAAAATCTAATCTCGGCAAGGGTAGCTTCATGGTTCGATTAGGATTTGCATGTTGTAGTCGAAGTATGATCTAGCATGCAGTAGTCGAAGAGGTGTATGTTGTAGTCAAAATATGATCTAGCATGCAGTGACTTAAGTTAGTTATGTTCTTTGTTATGTAGTAGTTATGTATGTCATATATGAGGATTTTTATCATGCATAACATACATATGCTAGTAATATAATTCTCTAATACATGTTGAGTGTGACATGTGGGTTGTTATTCACTTATAATATGTTAACCCTAATTGAGAAAGTGAATAAAAAACAATTATAACCATCTCTCTTCTTCTTTCTCTTCGTGAATTGAATCGTTTTCTTTATTGTTCAAGAACTCTCTCTTTCTCACAGATTTACTTCGTATTTGGAATCGTTTGTCACAACAAACTGGTGCGGTAAGTGTGGATCAAGATGCCATCAATAAAGTATGAGATTGAAAAATTTACTAGTTTGAATGATTTCGGATTATTGCCTTTGAAGATGCAAGTTATTCTTGTTCAGCAGGGTTTGTTAGAGGCGCTGAAGGGATCAGAAAGAATGGATTTTCTCGAACAAGAGATGAAGAATACGATGATGATCGAGAAACACAAAAGTGATATCATATTGAGCCTTGGTGATAAGGTTCTCTGGCGGGTCTCGAAGGAGAAAACAATAGCGAGTGTGTGGAACAAACTTAAAGATTTGTACATTTCCAAGTCATTTTTAATCGTCTCTACCTGAAGTAAGCTCTGTATTTATTCAAGATGAGTGAAGATAAAGTCTTGGTTGAGCAACTGGATATGTTCAACAAGTTGACTTTTGATCAGATAATATTGATGTCAATATTTATGATGAAGATCAAGTGTTATTGTTGTTATGTGCTTTATCAAGATCTCATGTTCATTTCAAAGGAACTCTCTTGTATGGAAGAGAGCCCATGACCTTTCAAGAAGTTCAATTAAACTTTTACTCAAAGGACTTGAATGAAATAAAGGAGCACAAACCATCATATGTAGGTAAGGATTGTTTGTAAAAGGAAAATTCTCGAAGAAGGGTGGTAAGTTTGAGAAAAATAAGGGTAAAGATTATCACAAATCTTATGGTGGTAAGGCCCATGTTATTAAGTGTTTTCACAGTAAGAAGGAAGATCATACACGAAAAGTGTGTCCTGATAGGATGAAGAGTTATGGTGATGGAAAGGACAATGGCAATGCAGCCATGGTTTAAGATGATTATGAATCATATGATGTACTGGTGGTTTCGAGCAAAAATTCTAGCAAGGAATGGATCATGGATTCAGGTTGCACTTGTCACATGACTCCAACAAAAGATGTGTTTGAGGAATTATGTGATCAAGATGGACGGTTAGTGCCGCTGGGAAACAGTAAATCTTGTAGAATTGTAGGAATTGGATTTGTGACATTCAAGCTTCATGATGAGTCAATAAAGTTGTTGACATGTGTCAGGTATGTATCTAATATTAAGAGAAATTTGATTTCTCTTGGTGAATTCGACAAGAAAGGATATATGTTCAAGGGAGAGCAAGGTATCCTGAGAATCATAAAGGGGTCAAAACAAGTTTTGAGAGGCGTGAAGAAGAAAGGCTTGTACACACTTGAGACTAAGGTTATAAGCGGATCAACAGATTTTGCATCCACAAAGCCTGTGTCAAAGACAGAACTACGACATGTGGGATTGGCTATGTGTAACACCCTTATTCTACCCCACAGATATTACGGAAAAATAACACGAACTTCAGAGTAAAATATTAACTTTCATTAAAAAGCCACAAAAGGGCGTACATTTCTCAAAGTCAACAAAATTGGTCAATACTCCGTAACACACGGGTTTTCTCAAAATATATCAAAACATCATATACAGCGGAACTCAAACATAACTCAATGTTTTCCTCATAAGGGAACATCAGTAAAATAACCCAATGATATACAATCAACTCAAAGAACCCAACCCGATGTTACATATCAGAGCAAGACCCTCTAAATTAACCATAAAGGCTAACGACTCTAAAACTTCAAAATACTCCTCGACGACGTCTACGGCTAAACTTGCTCATCTGCACGTTACCCACGTGGAGGTAACATTCAAACAGGCAGGGTGAGTAAAACAACTCATAATAATCAATGTATAACAATTAATGCATAAATGACATATTACTCATAGTTATATTCAACACATTGATATCCTTCAAATATGCCTCAAAGGCCACAACGTCATAATTTATACACAAAGGCTCATAAATGCAGATGCAACATAGACTTAATGCATGTGGTACCAATCATCACAGCTCGATGGACACTGGGCCATCAACCCTCCATAGATCCCCATCAATAGGATCGGAGCACGTCAAAATACTTCACATCCACACAGTGGGATTGAAGCCAAAGTAATCGAAGTCTTGAATCGAAGTCCGGATGCATATGAATGCATGATGCACACTTCACAATAATCCTCATACTAACAGCATATGGTGCATCATCATTCATCATATTCATCATCATTACACGTCATATCTCATCGTCATATTCATCATCATAAATCATGTCATCATAGCTCATTGTAACAATCATCATCATACATCATGTTATCATAGCTCAGTAACAATCATCATCATACATCATGTTATCATATCTCATCACAGTAATCATCATTAGACAACATATCATCATATTTCATCACATTAATCATCATACATCATACCATCATAATTCATCATATTATTCATCATACAACATATCATCATAGTCCATCATATTAATTAATCTCACACATCATGTCATCATATAATCCCGTATAAATCACATATT